AGTTTGTCTAAAGCAGGGATACAATTAGTCAGCGCAGTCGTCCCTCCAGAGTAAAAGGTTTTGTTTACCTGCGGGAGTTCACTGGCATTTTCCCGCACGTGAATTCTGACCAATCAATAAGCAGTTTAGGAAATATGTTCAACAACATCTGGCCAATGAAAGATGTGGATTTTGTCAGATGACTGCATTCAACTGGTACGGACCAAAGCAATGTATCATTCATTACCCTTGGTCCGGATTAAATTAAGCGAACTACTGATGTGAAAGCACCCATAGTCACGATGGGTGGATTAAACATGTATTGCAGCAATATGATTAACTGAGATCACCATAAACATGGAACTTCGCAAGGCTTTAACCTCTTCTGACTTGTTCATATGTGCTTAAAAGTTATTTGCTTGTCCGCATTTTGAGTTTCTGCATGTAGTCCAGTTAAGAGGCCTGGGAAAGGAGGTAGAACGCAAGTTGTCTGAAACCATACTCTTGGGTGTCTGTGTCAGATCCACTGGATGATACTTTAAGACCTTGGGATTTGTTCTGCGGTGTGTTACTTCACTTTCATCGTTACTCAGATATCTGTAAGCGATCATCTTACTCAGCTTTTTGTGTGTGTTTGTGCTTTTGAGGCCACATTGTGCAAGCAATAACTTTATCTCATAGTCTGTTTGTCCTTGCTTCTGTTCCATAGCAACTTAACTTGTTCCATTGTGCAGCCAAAGTGTTTAAATTCTCAAATTGTCTTTCTGATTGCCGTGCATTGTTCGATTTCGTTTGTGCAGGCTATAATTACTCTCTATCTCCTACTTTCTTTGGAAGACCCTTCAACCCTGAGGTGGAAGAAGAGGAGGTGGAAAAGGGGTCAGGGGGCGCCCAGAGGCTTTTGGTTTCTCTGTGTGAGGATTTGGGTTCTGGAGCCGTATAATTACCCCTCTCACACAGCTCCCCTAAAAGCAAAGGCTGATCTTTATTTGTGGTGGTCTAAGTGGATGACTCAGAGGAGGGAGTTAGCAGGCGATAGTCTTCCATCTGCTTCTACTATTCCTCTATAAGCAATCTCTCTATGCAGTTAAAGTGAACTAGGCCTCTATTTCAGACCCTTCCCCCTCCCTATTTTTTTTTTTCTAACTGATGTTGGCAAGCTGTAAGTTCTATTGGTGCTTCACTAAGCATTTCCTCTGTTTCAACCCTGTCACAGTAGCAAGTGCAGGTGGAAACAGGGTCAAACCGAGGGGTACAAGGACACAGGTGTTCCCCAAGGTGGCTTTGGAGAGGTTGCCAGCCGTCTTTCTGTCAAACTCGATTAGTCAATCAATCTGTCGTTGCAGAGTGCCTGCTGATGGGTCTATACACTGTGGTCAAAAATATCTCATCCGTGCAGGCCTGGATAAATGAGAAATGAAAGGTTTGCTGTGCATCTGTTAAAAAAACTGACACATCACCAGCTGGTTCCTTCTTTTATGAGTGGTGATTGCTAAGGCTAACATCACATTTGATGATCGTATATACTGTAGGGTTAGAGGGTCTTTTGTGACTTGGACTAGAAAGTAACCACCTACAGAATTCTAGTATTTTGATACCTTTTTATGTGTTTGAAAAGTTTGAAAAACTAGCAAGGTAAAAAGCTGAAGTCATTGTAATTTTAACTTTGGTCTTGCAAAACACAGGCAAGAAATTCTACCCTTCAAAATCAATATGAGAAAGATGAAACTTAAAAAAAAAAAGTTTCTATTCAAGGTCAGTGCTATGTGTTCTCAGAAATCATGAGTGTTTTGATTAGAGATTTGTGCACTAGCGACCTTGACTTGTCTTTTTTTATGTCCTACAAATACGCCTCCCAACCTAACCTTGCCTATATTTTTTGTTCATAATATGAGCACATTGTACCTGCTTCTCCTGGTCTATCTTTAAATATTTGGCTAGTTTCAATCCCAAGAGATCCATTTTAGTTTTAGACTATCAGAAGTTTAGCTTCTAAGTGTTGATCTTAGCGTTTGAACACTTGCCCATACTTGTTGAAAAACCGTGACTGATGTTACACACACAGTCCTGCACTCAAACCAGTTTTTCAACTTTCCGTAAAATAGCCCGTCAGTACGAAACTGATCCCTGATCAGCAACTTACCTTGAACTTGTCAAAACTGCCTGCTATGGTGTCATTTTCTGCATGTACCATTTAAATCTTTGATGTATATCTACATCCAAATGCATATGAGGAAATATAAGAAAAGAGGTAAAAAAAATGACTTTTAATATAATTTTTTTTTAGTCAATCTAACAATAAATGAATAACTAATCTAAATATATATATTTTTTAAAGTAGCAATGTAATTGTGCCTTTTTTGCTCAAGGTCACGAAACTGTAGATCGTAGAAGGAGAATTTAATACTGATATTTCAACAAACATCCCATTGTTTACTATACAAACTCATTGTCACAGGGTTGACAGGTTGACAAAAATGGACAAGCCATTAAAAGATAGGACTTTACCACTTACTGAAGAGATGAGGTAATATATTTAGCAAGTATGTATACTTTAAAGAAGGACGCAAATGGCACCCATTTGGACAAAAGACGCAGATTTTCCAGTTTGCCTCTGTTTTACTTTTCCCCTGCAGTACTTCCAACTTTTATGAGTGGCGTGATTAAGCGCAGTAGTTCAGAGTTACTTCCTCTTAGCTAAGGTCTCTCCGTAGGAGGTAATTACCTCTTTTGCCAGTCATAAATATAAGAGAGAGGGAGAGGGGGTGGTGAAGCTATGTGGTTTAGTACTGTGTATGTTTTTGCAGGAAGCAAGGCCAACAGGACAGCACCTGACGGCGAGGAGATATACATCTACTCAGGGTCTCTTACGACAGGTTTGTTAAAGACAACAGAAGTCAGGAACCCTCCAGGGACGCATTTGCCTCAGAGTTAGTCACGGGTCAGGAAATCTTCTGTTGTGAATGGCCTCTGTAGAGTTAAAGTGTTCGTGGATGCAGTACTATTCCTCAGGAAGCATAACATGGTTGAAACGTAAGAAGAGCCGGTTGTCTTGTCAGGTGTTGAGGAAGTGAAGACAAAGAAAATATGAATGAAAACCAGGGGTTGAAGTAAAGGGGGGGTGGTTAAACAAAAGTATGAGTAATAGCATGTGCAAGAAAGCGAGACTTGAAGAAAAGGAAGGGCATGAAGGAGGGGGGTTCGGGTGTTGACACATCATTCTCAGCTGGCGGGGGTAAAAGAAGGTCAGCGTGGAGACAAAAGACCGGGGCCTGCTTAAAGCAGACGCATTTGACTGCGGGGCATACCATGTTCAGGGTTATCTACATAGATAAACCCTCTATTGTTTTAACTGAGGGCAATGGAAGCATCCCGTACATGACAGATACCTACAAACTCCTGAAAGCCATCGCGGGGGAAAAAATAGAAAAGCCATTCGTTTACTACTAATTGCCTGCCTGGTTTATTGTAGCTTAATTCAAGTGGCATCATTGTGGGCACACTCAGACTGGATCCCACATTGTTTCCATTAATAGGTGCTTGAGGCTGTCACCGAGATGTTTACCAATGAGAAATAATTAGGATGGAAATAATTAGGTGGTGTGGGAGGGTTGGCAGCCAGGATCAGAGTCAGGGGGGATCTACCGTCATTACACATGCAGGGAAAGTCTACATCCGGAGCTCTTGAAGACCTAATGCTGCCTGTAAACACGGCGGCTGCACTTATAATTAGTTCTGTTTGTCAAAGAAGGCAGCGTTTGAAGTGCTCTTGTTGAGTTGGCGCACTTGCTGTTTTGATGCGCCCGGTTTTAGCGTAAAAGTCAGGGATGATGTAACGAGTCGTTGCAACTTCAGCAAGGGTTGTCAGTTTTCACAATATATTATTGAGTACCTTTTGAGTACACTCTTGGGAATAAAAGTGCAAGAGCTGTCACTGGGTGACATGGTGGCTCAGTGGTTAGCACTGTCACCTCACAACAAGGAGGTCGCTGGTTTGAGTCCCAGCTGGGTCAGTTGGCATTTCTGTGGGGAGTTTGCATGTTCTCCCCCATGTTGGCATGGGTTTCAATTCAATTCACCTTTATTTCGATAGCGCTTTGACACAATCTACATAGTAAAAGCAGCTTCACATATTATAGTAAATTGAAACCAATTCAGTCCAGTTTTCAGAGTTTAAGTTTAGTTTAGCTCAGTTCAGTGTGGTTTATTAATCCTAACTTAGAGTCCAAACACTAAGGAGCAAATGCGATTTCCTTCAGCAGAATTTGGCCATTTGAATAACTAAAAATGAAAACATAATACTATTAATTACAACAATGTAAAGATTCTTGAATTGTGTAGCCTCTCTTGTAAAAATTAATAAAAAATTAATAAATAATACATTTGAAAAATGTTGGATAACAACAACTATAGCCAAAATAGCATTGCAATTAATTATAATATGGGTCACTTTTGGTGCTTCACACCTTTTCATTCATCACTTTTTGTTTCAAGAATAAGATCCAAGATTTAGAAAAGTTTTTTTTTACATCTTGTAAAATGTTTTCTCTATTTAAAAACAATACAGTAGCAAAACATGGCTTTATTTATGTCAGATTGTATGTTGTCTTGCACATCATCTTGGAAAAATAATTGTTTGCATTGGCCAAAACAGATTAGCTCACAACAACCCTTTTTTGATGGGTTATTTTCACAATTTATGATGGCATAGCAGTCAAAATAGGACAAGTGAGTTCATGCATGGGACAAACTTTGGACCGTTGTCAGTAAGGGGGTAGGTCTTTTGAACCACCCGAATCCCCTCTTGCTACGGCCCTGGTTTTGTACCTTTGACTTGTACTTTTTTGCATACATCTTAGCTTTAAATCGTTGTAGTATTGTTTTTATTTCATAATTAAAAATGAGTTTGAAAAATACTTTCAGAACCACCAATCCTGAAAAAGTGGGCGGACACTAATGCGTTCTCTCAATCACTGATTGGTCGAATAGTTTGTAATGTCTCTCTTCTTGTGTTTCTTCAGCAGGGAATGGCCAGTCGGTGCAGACGGACCCCAGTAAGTCTGGATTTGTGGGGGATACAGTGGAGCTGAAATGTCTCTTCATCAACGGCAAGCCACCAGTGAAGATCTCTCAAGTCACCTGGCAAAAGCTGATAAATGGCACCAAACAAAACGTGGCTATTGCTAACCCAGCATTGGGAGTATCAGTTTTGACCCCTTTCAAAGATCGTGTGAGTTTCAAGCATCCCGCCGTGCGCCAGCGGACCCCTTCTTCCCTTGAGGATACCACCATTGTGTTCAGCAGTCTACGGCTCTCTGACGAGGCGGCCTACATCTGTGAATACACCACCTTCCCAGCAGGCAACAGGGAGAATATGGTCAACCTCACTGTCTTTGGTAAGTCTACCAGACTCTGCTATACATATTTAGCGCTGTTCTCCTGTGAATAGAGCTCTTTCACAAACTGAGGATCAATGGGACTCATTCAATGGAAAGTGAGCAGAACAAATGTGTGTTTTTAAAAACAAAATACATTTGTAAATTGACGAATTCAAGCAACAATGGGCCTCATTCATGAATATCAAGCAGATCAGATTTGTGTGTAAATTGTTACAAATATTGAGTCAGTGCTCAAATTCTTAAAATCTTAAATTCCCATATAAAATGCACATTGAATAGTAAGGTTTTGTTATTTAATATATATATTTTGTGTTGCTTGATTGATTGATTTAGTTTTTTTTCTTTTTGCATTAGAAACATGCAAAGAAATAATACAATTATATATATAAATATAAATATTTTATATAAAAAAAAAAAAAATATATA